AAACCCCAGTAAGTACAAGTTAAAGTTTAAGTTACAGTGGCGGCCTCATAGGAGGGTCGTCACATTATAAATCATAACTTGACAAGTTATGGCCTATTAATTTTTATAACTAAAAATTGGCCTATATATTTTTTTAAGCTTTTCATATTGCCTATTTCCGATTAATTTACTAATGAATATGTAGGTAAGTTTCAGTTGAAAACTTTTGAAATTCAACTTTGTGTGTAATTTTTACTCGGGAAGACATGATTTTTTTTTTCAAGCTTTCGGACAAATTTGCTGTGTTTTGCTAATACAGTGATTGTAAACATAGTTTAACGGTAAATACACACTTGGCTTTGCATAAGGTATAGACTCCACCCAAAATGAAAAACAAAAATAATAATATATCTACTAATATGATAAAAGTCTTAAAATAAAACTTACCAACGTAAAGTGCCATATCTTCTTAAATAACAATTTTAGTTGAAAATTAGACACCAATCCATTTGCCATTATAAGCAGATTTGAATTATTTAGTGAAAGGGGTTCAATTTCAAGGAATTATGCAGAGCAGTTTTGTAGAAGGAAAAAAAGAAGAATGAACTTGTTGAAATCACATGTTTGTTTTGGGAATTTTATGATCAGGTGAAGAAAAAAAAAAGATCGTATCGGTATTGTTTCGGTGCCAGTTGACATTCTATATTTCTATTTTTTTATTTGCAAAAAAATTATAAAAAAAAAAATTGAAAACTAACAGGAATATAAACCTTTAATTAAACGGTCTATCTTCTTTTGATTTGCACAAAAATAAAATAAAATTAAAAACTGACAGGGATATAAACCTTTAATTAAACAGTCTATTCTTTGGATTAGCGGAAGAAGACATGCATGTCTTTATCAACCAAAAAAAAAAAAAAAAGGAGAATCCTTCAACGTATGATCTGTAGTACATGTTTTTTTTTTCTTTTACACGTAGAATAAATAGTTTCTTATATAAATTTTATAGTCGAAAAACTGAGCCCGTCCACTTTTTCAAATCTAACTGTACAAATCTCCACAAAAACATGTACACGTAGACACTGTGACCTGTGAGACCGAAAGCTTTGGCCTCGTTTGCAACGCGGATTCGAGTTTTTAATTTAAGTTGAGATGTGATATTTTTTTAAAGTTTTTAACTGTATCAGAAAAAGTTAGATGTGACATTTTCTGAGAGTTTTTAACTGTAGTAAAAAAAATTAAATGTGACATTTTCTGAGACCTTTTAACTGTAAAAATTTAAAACTAAAAATTCGAATCGAGACTTTTGTCATCTTATAAGAAGGAATATAAGTTCAAATAAACGGCCATTTTTTTTTATGTAACCTAAAAATAAGGGCCGTAAATAGTAATGAAATCAAAAATGGAAATAAATCATTAACACCTAAACATCAAGTCCCTTTCTCCAAACAAAAATAAATAAATAAATAAACTGTAGGTTATAGTATTAATTATATATATGTGTGTGTAGAACAATCTGATATGAACAACCAAACGTAACACAAAAAGTTAATGAAATAGACAAAACGAATGTGCAAAACGTTTATGAAATCCTATCAAAATCTTAAACCAAAAGATGCAATGCATACGATTAGCAAATCCGTGTATGTATAATATATGTGTAATATGCATTTTCCTTTTTCCAGCTGAATCAGTAAAAACAAAGAAAAAAAAGAGATGAAACAATAAGAAACACATATGAACCCAGAAACAGAAGGAAAGGGGAGGGAAAAAGAAAAAAACCCAAAGACAGCAGTTCTCCAATTCGAGCAACATGTTCGCCTTTGAAGGTAATCTGCTTGAACATTGTTAGCCAAAATAATATATGAACTGAAAATAAGAGAAATAGAATAATCAGAAAATTACAGAAACTGAAATATAACGAAATAGCAATGATATAGAAATGAGCAGAAATAAATGTTACTCCGGACAACTGAAGAGTCATCCAAAGGCTATCACATCAAATAGTCTAAGAACACTCTAAAGAGGAGTATTTCTTGAGAGATAGAATTACTTTGGCATCATTCATTTCGCAGATTTGAGTTTTTAATTCGAGCTGAGATGTGACATTTTCTGAGAGTTTTTCACTGTAGCAAAAAAAGTTAAATGTAACATTTTCTGAGAGCTTTTTACTGTAGAAACGTAAAACTGAAAACTCAAATCGGTGAAATGAACGAGACCTTTAAAATTTTAATGTGTGTCAAATGAGGTGCGGAAGGTCCCTTTTATAGGGCTTGGAGGAGCACTTTGAAAATCAATTTGTTATTCACTCATGCATTATTTTAAGCATATAAATATAATTTATATCATAAATGCATATTAACCTGTTACTAATAGAAAGGAGGTTTTCCTCAAAATCAAACCTCAAAATGTGTTACCTGACCATTTTTCTAACAATTTATACCAATTAAAATCACAAGTGAACTGTTCTTTAGTATTATAGAATTTATTGAGAAAAGGCGATGCTTCACTTACTATATGCAATTAAGATATTGTGACATACATAAATAATTAAGTCTTAATTGTGAGGAGAGAGAGTGAGCTCCTCTTGAGATGTGTTTTTTTAAATGGAATATTATGACTAGCAATGACAAATAAGCACTTTTATTCATTCCGATAAGGTTAAAGTTGCGTTACTCACATAAAGTGAGTTCCGTTAGATAAGTAAGTGAGACCCACCATGTTATAAGTGAGGGAGTTTTATTTCCATTGAGATAAATATCACTTTTCATGGCAAATATTCGAAAAGTGGGGCGGGGCTACAAGAAAACGGGAAAGTCCTGGGGCTTCGTGCATTTATCGTAAAATGGTTAATTAGAACATCCAGTCAGATTTTGGTTAGTTAAGATTGCATTGACACACAAATCACAACTTATACTGCATGTTTGGCTTCAGTTTTGAAACCGTTAATCACAACTTATATTGCGTGTTTGGTTTCAATTTTGAAACCGTTTTTCACGTTTTCTAAGAAGAAAAAAATAAAATTGGGAAGGAGATTGCGTTTGGAGTAGATGAAGGACAAAAAATGGAAATAAAACCGGTGTTTGGTTTAATGTAATATGAGAGAAAAACTGAAAATGGAAATAAATCGTTTTCATTTCTGTCATTTTCTCCTCCCTTACTCCTCTGAGCAGCTTACAGATTATTTAATATATTTTCTACCATTTCTACCATTTATTTTCCTGTCATTTATGCCATTTTAGAGATGAGGGTAAAGTGGAAAAAAAGAAGATGAATTATTTAATATTTTCTTTAAAATACTATTAAATATTTTCAAAATTGTATAATCAAACGGAATTTTAATTTTTCTTATACTGAAAATAATATCTCAATAAAATTACTAAACGCATTTTTAAAAATAATTTATGTCTGAAATTAAAAACGTTTTCATTTCTAATTTCATATAAAAAATAAAATTATTTTAGAATCGGTTCTAAATGCACCCATAGGGATCCTATTTATGTAATTGTAGAGCTTTTAAAAGAGTTGATGGGCTAACTAAGCACCAAACTAGACCATTTAAACGATTGAAATCATGAGAAGTGAGTTTGAAAGTTGCTTATGAAAACATTTACCTTACATTAAAATCTCACCAGAATCGATCATTTTATTGAAAGAACCTCAAAATCTTGTCGGAAAGTTTTCTCCACTCAAAAACTGTATTGGGACCTTAAAAATTATTTAGTGGAAAATTGAAAAATATAATAGATATCTTTGTGCATGCCACCAAGTCGGGATGAGATCTTTTAATGAATAGTTTTTGTTCGTGTCAACAGAAAACTAACCTAAAATAATATATATATATATATATATTAAATAATAGATTAATGAAATGAAATTAAATAAATAATATATTTTAAAATTATTTAAAATAAATAACAGTTTACTGTGTAAATATTTCGGGCGCGTTTGGAACTTGTTCTAAAATAATTTTATTTTGGATAGAAAATGAAAACGTTTTCAATCTCAGACATAAATTATTTTTAAAAATGTGTTTAGTAGTTTTATCAAGAGATTATTTTCAGTGTAAAAAAATCTATTAATGTCTCTCTTTCTCTCTCATTTTACACTAAACTAAAAAATCATTTTTATTTCCATTTTTTACCTTTATTACGTTAAACGCCGTTTTGAAAAAAATTTTCATTTTTTGTTTCTTAAAAAACGTGAAAAATAAAAACGATATCAATTCTAAACACGACCTTCATTTGACTAATAAAAAGATTTTTTTCACATAAATTTTACTTTTTATTTCTGATAAATAAATTTTTTTCACATGAATAAAGATTTCTTAGGACGTAAATTATTTTTTACTAGCAGTAATTCAATAATTGAGAGGTGAAAACTGTCTATTTTATGAAGGCTGTCACAAAATTTAGCTGACAACATCTCTAAGAATAAAGTCAGACATCCTCGACGGCCATCAAGGTAAATAACCCTTAATTAAATGGTATTCTTTGGATTAGCCGAAACACATATAAATGTATGTACACGGACAGCTTTGTCATCTGAAGAAGAAAGCTCTGTTTGTTTGTTGGTCGGTTGTCAGGAATGGAAAGAGGAGTTCAGAGATGGGCAGTTGATATATCAAAGTGGGACCCAACTCCCCAAGACTTCTCCTTTGCCCTCTCCCTTCTTCCTTTGCACGACCACAACTCCATCATCAGGTTTCTCTTCCTCTTTTTTGTTTTTTGTTTTTTGTTTTTTTTCCTTTGATTAATTTTCTTCTTCTATTTCCCTTGTCTTCCGATCCCATGAAAAACCCAGAAAGGAAATCTAAAATAATGACTGAAACAAAACTTGAATTTCGGTAAAACTATTTTGAGAAATTCTCTTCTCTTCCAATATAACAAGTAGCTTATAATACTCGTCTTTGTTTATGTCATAAACATTCCTTGTTTGTTGAGATTTAGCTGAAGTAAATTTGCAGTTCCATTCTTGAGGACTTGAATGAAGTCGTGCAATGTGTTAGCAAAACTTTTTATATTCTGTTCTTTATTTTTCTAGCTTTTCGTTTGGCAAACTAAAATCCGGGGTTGTTTTGATATTCCTTGTACTCTAAAATAATCAAAGGGATAGCAGTTTATTCCCTTGTAGATTGATTTGTTTACTACCAGAAACTATTTTCACTTATTCCATACACTTCCCTATTTTCCCTCGAAAAAATTATTTCCTTTCTTTAGTAACTCCCCATAATGTGCAATGTTAACCTGTGTATGATGCAGAATGATATATCTAATATTTGTCTATTTTCCATTTCATTAGGGATTTATTTTATTAGGGTAGTTTTCCATTGTCAACATTGCATATTTTATTTCGGTCTATTTTCCTATTTTGCTTGATTAAGAATTTATACTATTTTAGAAATGGGGTTAGTTTCTCATTACCAGAGTTTCCATATTTCGTGTTATTTTACTTTCCAATTATTATTTGGTTTTCCTATAAGTATAATAGCATTGTAATTTGATTCGGACTATAGAAAATGGTTAATAAATATCGAAATAAGCGGTCTATCTCTGTTGAGTTCTTGTTTCTCTCTCTAGATTCCCTCGATTTCCCTCTCGAGTGGCTTTTTCTTCCCTATCTTGAGTCTATCATTCTCTCTCTATTCTTTTTCTTATATTGATCCTACATCAATGTACTTCCATTTTTCAGAAACTGAATGCAGAACAAAGAAAATTGTAGATGGTGTTTACAAAACCTTTATTGACTTATGAATAACAGATTTATCACGGTTGTTTGTCTCTCTTTCAATTCTACATATGCCCATTGAACTGTCTCAAATAATATTTTTCGGTTCATATGGTGTTTGAAGGACCGATGACCTTTGAATGTTTCTTTTACACTCATAGATTTGTACGGTTGGAAGATAGAAAGAGGGCGCTTGTGAGCCGACTGCTTCAGTATGCTCTTGTACACGAAGTTTTGGGAATTCCCAATAATGAAATTGTCATCAAGCGCACTTTGGAAGGCAAACCTTATCTAGTAAGCAAAACAAGCAACTATTTTCTCATCACATCTTTTACAGGTTGACCAAGAACCATGTTAAGAATTTATGGTATCTTGCATTTTTATTTACGCTTTAAGCAAAATAAATAAATGATTTTAGGAGTTTGAGACTTTGAATTGTAGGTTGCTCCACCAAAACTTCACATAGAAATGGCAATTCTTTTGGCTAACATGAATGATGAGAAACTTAATGACAATAACAGGTGGTTATAGTTTCTTTTGACCTGGAAATGAGTATCCTGGCATATCTTAATTCATGCTTTCGGGTTTTGAGAAAAATCTTTTACAGTCTTTTGTTTTCAGGAATATGGTGAGATTAGCACGGAATTCCCGAACTTCAACTTTAACACATCGCATCATGGTGACTATGTGGCTATAGCTTCCGAGCCATTATGCCTCGTGGGGTTGGACATCGTCTCTCCTGTCATTCCCTGGAAAGAGACAGTTATTGATTTCATTTACAATTTCTCCTTCTATTTTTCAAGTTTGGAATGGGATAACATAGTTTCTGCAGGCACTTGTGATGATATTTTGGTTGAATTTTATAGGTATGGTCTTACTTCATCTATTTCATAAACCATTCTGTGACCAAGAATGTTGCATGTCAACTTAGACTCAAACTGGTTAATCAGACCGTTTTTCCGCATCTTTTGAGAGTTCACGGTCACCATGCAGTATTTGCGGCTAGCATGAATCTGTTACTGTACCATACTTGTTTTCCGGCAAACTAGTTGCATTAAAATGGCACATGGCTCAAATTCATTATTATTTTTTATTCTGTGACAATTTTTTTTTTTTTTTTTTTAAATTTATACCATCTAGCTGGAATCATATTTCTTAGCTAAGAAAGGAAAATAAAAATTATTTCCAATGCTATATAAGTCAAAGATGTAAAGGAAATTCACAAAAGTTGCAATTTTGAGATTTATTTTCTCCTCTCAATGGATCCAACTATTTCTATCTGGTGTTTGACCAGAGACTGCCTTTTTCCCTAAAAAATGGCTTTTTTTTTTTTAACCTTGCATATATGTTGCTCAACTTTTTTGTTGATTCAAGATTATGAAAGCTCCACAGGAAAAAGAGAGAGCATGTTTAACCAAAATGATTTATGGTGGTTGTAGATATTGGTCTCTGAAAGAAGCTTATGTCAAAGCAATAGGCACTGGAATAACACATGGCTTGGACAAAGTGGAGTTTCATCGTAGCAGCTTGGCCAACATTTCTGTTAAAATTGCTGGGAGGGCTATGCCAGAATGGAGATTTTGGCTCTCTGAGCTGGGAAAACGGCATTTGGTGAATAGCCTCTCTCTAGCATTCATGTTTTTCTTCTCTCATTATTATTGTTGTTCTCTCTGTTTGCATAATCTAAACTTCCCCAACCAAATAATTCATAGAGAAAAATTCCACAAAATCTGAAAATTTCAAAGAATTTTATTCATTTTAAACATGTGAAATGACGGGAAAGCTGAATTTAGATGAAAAGTTGAACCAATCCATGCTTAGATTGTAGATTTTTTTTTTTTTTTACTTTTCTTTGTCCTAATATATACGCTAGCAATTTCCCTTTGAAAAAATCCCATGTTTCCCTTTGAAAAAACAGGTATCAGTAGCAAGAGGTCACCCCAGATCAGCAACGGAGAGTTACAAGAAAACGTTAAAACATGTAGAGTTTGATGATGAAGAATTCCACAAGGGTCTTCATCTTCCGAACATGGAGTTCGTCTTTCGAACCGTCGAACAACTTGTTCAAGTTTTGTGCAAAGAGGGTTACAGTATACCTAGAATTCCTAATACCAATAAAGCAGGCGAAATGGCTATATATATATATATAACACGTATATTCCGTTGTACAACCAAGTCATAAAAGCAACGTTTTGCTTCTTGATCTCATCAGAATATCGTTCATGAATATTTCATTTGGAGACTAGAATATACCCTACTACCAGCTGTGAAGATTGTGACAGAGATTATCAGTTTGCAAACTGAGCACAAAATTTAGCCAGAAACATTAGCATAGATTTAGACACCCAGGTGGCAAGCCATTATAAATGTGCTTTCGATTTCGGGCGACAAAAAGTCACAGCATAAATCACGCCACAGAAAGAAAAATATCTTCAAAAAGGAATGAAATTCCATCATTGAATATAACGGGCCAAAAATAACTACTCGACAATTCACAATAAAATGGAGAAGCAAACATGGGTCTAAAAAATGTGACTTGTAATGGAAGCCAACAATACCTGATCACATGAATCATTGAGATTTTTTTTTTTTTTTTTTTTTTCCCGGATGACGAGTATACAAAAAGAATGGCATAATTACAAGTGCCTATTGTCAGAGGCATAACTTATATCATCATGTTGTCCCCGGACAATAGCAACATCTATTTTATGTGAAAAAGTCAAATAATAACGAAAAATTTACAGTATGATTGTTTTCATAGAATCATATTCAAGTCTGAAAGGTCATCCATGGGTATGTCAAGGCCGATTGAATCGTGGTCTTGTAAACCATCCTCCTCACCAACTACTCAAATCTTGAGCTCATTCTCTACACCTAATTCTATGGACTCTAATTCATGCAATTGCAAGTTTGGAAAATCCATGGGTGGTTCCCTGATCTCTGTGGATTGATTCTCCGGATTTTTGTTACCTTGAGATATCAAACCCACTTCATATAATCATATTCAAGTCTGAAAGGTCATCCATGGGTATGTCAAGGCCGATTGAATCGTGGTCTGGTAAACCATCCTCCTCGATGTTCAACCAACTACTCAAATCTTGATTCCCATCAAGCTCATTCTCTACACCTAATTCTATGGACTCTAATTCATGCAATTGCAAGTTTGGAAAATCCATGGGCGGTTCCCTGGTCTCTGTGGATTGATTCTCCGGATTGTTGTTCCCTTGGGATATCAAACCCACTTCTCTTTTTCTGTTGCTACCACTTGCAACAATTTCACCAGAACCAGTAGTAATAGATACATTTCCTGAAGTTGATAGCTGGCCTATCTTTTGCTTGGGCTTTGATTTTGTTTTACGTTCACTCTTGTGGTTGCTAGCTTTGGCAACCGAGTTTCTGCCGGATGGATCTCTCTCGCTCCTCTTACCCTTTGCTCCACCTGATAAATTATTACCAAAACTTGATGCATTTTTCAAGGGCGGGCAACCACCAACATCATCAAGCAGCAGTTCCCTCTTTTTCACTCTGTTCATTATTGGTCCAGTTTGGGCAAAATCTTGGTCGAAGGAATGGCGGAGATTTCCAAACCCATCAGGAGAATTCTTCCCAATTTTATCAATATGATGATCATACCGCTCAGCCCAATCAGCCACTGAACCTGTCAGAACAGAATGCATTGTTAAAACAATTGATCTCATTAGACGAGAAGTTTGAAAAATAATAGAGCAAGAGAAATAAATATAAATTTACAAAACAAGAATATTCAAGGTGTTGTTTGGTGTAAGGGTTTTGAATCTGGAACCATAATTCTAGTTCAGAATCAGTGTTTGTTTACAATAAGTAAAAAGTAGTTCTGATTTGACTCACCCAGAATCAGTATTTAGTTAGGATGGTTCTGATTCAAGGTTTGAACCCTCGTGATGTTTTAAACCATGAATCACCCATGATTCTAAAACCACCCCTTCCCTTGGTTTTGGGTGGTTCAAATTCCTGATTTTGGTTCTGCTTTTAGAACCATGATTTGGACCCAAAATTATAAATCATAGTTCTGGTTCTAAAATCAAACTAGAATCACGCTAGTTTGAACCATCATACCAAACGAACCCTATGAATTTGGCCTAGTAACTGTTTTGAAGGCAAAAAGGTGTAACACAAAAAGAAGAAAAAAAGGACGTGGTTAACGAAAAGACTAAGGGCATGTTCTTTTAGAGTGTGACTTGAGTGTAGTTCTTGAGTTGAATTTGAGTTATAACATGAGATAAAGTTGTAACTTGAGTTTGTATTTTGTTGTATACATTTGAGTTATGATTTGATATGAGAATCTTTTTGAGTTTGTATTTGGGTGTATAATAAGACTTGAGTTGTGAATAGTGGGGAGAGAAAAAATATGTTTTTCCTTACTTGAATTTATTTAATTTTATGCAATTTAAAATACCACATCATCATTTTAACTACGTACATAATTCAAGATCAGAGCCATTTATGAAATTTTTCCAAAAAAAAAAAGCCTTCTAAACAATAATTAAACCAAAAAGGAAAAAAAAAAAAAACAAACAAACAAAACAACAAAAAAAGCCTTCAGGCACCAACCCACTCTCCCCAGACACATCAACCGCCCAATAAACGACATCCTCCGCCCTCGAACCCAGATAAATGACATAATCTCCCACCATCTCAACCCCGGACTTCGCCAACAATTCCTTGCAATCCCACAACCCAATTTCCAAATCCCCTCTGACGACGACGCCGAGTACCTCCCCTTCCTGAACGGCAAGACCTTGAAATCCGTAGAAGCCGCCACGTGGCCGCTATCCAAAAGGCAGGTCTTGAGGATCTCGAGAGCTTGGGAAGGAGAAAATGGGTCGCCGGATTTTGGGGTCTTGGAACGGAGGGGGCTGCCGGCAAAGGCGTGGGATCGGAGGTTTATGGACATGGTGGTGGTGGGGATGTGAGAGAGAGCTCGGGAATGGAGGAGTTTAGAGAGAGACAATGTTGATGATGATATTGATGGTGATGAGAGAGAGAGGAGAGAGAACATTATGAGCAGTAGAGTAAACTCAAATTGATCGGAGGGGGGTAAACTTGAGAATGGGTGGTGACTTGAAAAAATTTTCGAGTGTTAGTTCGAGTGAGCTAAGGCCGAACGCAAACTACGCCCAAGTTATTCACTTGAGTACAGATAATCTGAGTGAGTTAAGGCAACTGAACAAGCCCTAAGTATGCTATTTCAAAATAATAATAATAAAAATAATAAAGAGTGGAGGTAATGATCACGATGACTGGACGATGCCAAATCAAGGACCTCTATCAAGTGGTTGCTGGTAAAGAGCTTTTAATAGCACCATTCCAGCCACGGTTTAAACATCTGCATCTTCCTTGAAAAAAAAAAAAAAAAAAAAAAAAAAGTCATGGAAAATGATGGCAAACCTGACAATCTGGGGTCTGGTAAAGAATTCTGAGTAACAGGAGCTGAGGCCATGCAACTTGTCAACTCTGGATTATTTCCATGAGCAGGTGCAGAGTAGATGATATCTCGAAGCGCAGGCTCACTAAAGCAACTTTTGCCAGAATCTTCGTATTTCCGACATCTAGCAAGAGTCCTCTTCATAAAAGTTGTAGCAACTTGTTTTGGAACCTTAGCAACCCCATGTTTTGAAGCAAAACTTCCTCGAGTCGCCTGCCAAATTTGAGAATAAAGAATTTTTGAGTAATTGTATCTTTTTAACAAAGAAATCCTCACAATATTATAATAATTTTAGAAATCACTTTATGGTAGAAAGCACATTTCAAAAATAATTCAAAATGATTGTCGTAAGTTCTAGAATATTTGGTCTAGAAACACAACAAAATCCTCCATCGCCACCCACCACTCCTAAAAGTTCTAGATGTGGTCTAGCATATTAATGGGCACTTGACAATTTCAAATTAAACCAAATCACAGTAGAAAAAAAAGGAGCAAAATTCCTTTTTGGAGCGTGGAAATAATGTCTCTTTATAGATCAAAGGAAGAAAGAAAGGTAGACATATTCTGCATGCTTCCCATCTCATTTTTTATTACTATAGGAATCCCATACCTGATGGTACTTGATAGTATCTAGCTCTGACTGAGTACGTAACTACCAAAAAAACAAAAACAAAAAAAACTGTGTTTTGTATATTATCTTTGAAAAATTGAAAGGAGAAAAGAAAATAGCCGAATGTTCTACCAAAGGCAATCTTAAAGGAATCAAAAGATATAAGGTTTAATTTATTCATTATCCAATCTTCAAATAATTCCATCTTCTCAATCCAACAGTAAATAATATGATTATGCAAGCTGTTAATTTATGTATTTTACATAAATGAGCATCAGCGTTACTGAGAAAAAGGATGCACCACATAGAAGTGACAAAATCCCACAAGATCAGGAGACATCTCAAAACAATATAGACAGAAAGAGCACATACCAGCAACTTTTTGTAAGCCAATTCAACAAGTCTATCCATGGCAACCTGCTCCAGGCCCCTAAAAATACCGACCACAACAAAATTCAACAAGCTTCAAAACAATGATTTTTGATACGTACTTATGATGACTAGGATAAAAGAAATGAGACAAGTTAGATCACTGGATATTCTACCGTTTTTCTACTTCATTTCCTTCTTCAATTGCTTTAGCAATTGTTTTTAGCTGCATCTTTGTTTTACTTACCTAAAGCATCAGAAGGTGAATAGATACACAATATGTTAGGAAATAAGTACAAGAAATGGACAATGAGACAGGCGTTTTCCAACGTAATTGTTCAAGCATATATCAAATGGGAAACATGAACTTCGAAATGTTGCCCTAATGAAGCAATATGTTTTGGAAATTGGGGAGATGCAAATGAAACCTGTTCAAAGAATCCCTTTTGCAATCCAAGAATATCAGAATTAATTGCCTCATCGTCTCCATCTGCTAGATCGGGCTGGGACAAGACAAGGTTATTCAATAATCAGAACAATAGAAAGAAAGAGAACTAAATGCGGATACAAATAGTGAGAGATTGTTAAAAAGTTTCATAAGAAACTGGCAAGTTGAAATTATAATAACTTTCTCCACCCATTGCTTATAGTAAGACTGACCACTATATCTGGATATAGGCCAACACTTTGCAGCTCGAGCAAGAGCTTGTCTTCCATACTCATTTGCTCATATGCACAGTCAAAGGACGAAATTCCAGAAGCATTTGTGCATATAGATAGCGGTCCATCAATTCCATTCTCAGAAAACTCTGTGAACCCATTATCCAAATGAGGACCTCCATGGTCCCCTTTCAAAAAATCATTGCTGAATAGTTGATTATGGATGCTTTGCCCCATAGTGAAGTTACCATTACCGTTACAAGAAAATCCTTCGGCAGCACACTGCTGAAGAGTCTGAGGATCCCTAACCATGTTCCTTCGCTCAAAATCAGCATCAGAAGAATATTCTCCATTGTACTGGAAACACATAACTCTCCGTCTGCTGTCCTCTTCAAATTCATCAGTTTCATCTTCCATGATCAGAGCTGATAATACTCTTTGGTAAAGCGGAGGCACTATCTTCCTTCTTTCTGAATCTAATTTCCCACCTAGAGAATCCAGATTCCAAACTTGATCTTCTTCAACACAATTGTTCTGAGAAATTCACAAAATAAAGATCCAACATGAACCAAATAATTATACCAGTCTACCATAAAAGGCAATGATGGATCAAAACCATAAAAGATAGTAAAAAAGACAACCAAAAAAAAAAAAAAAAAAACCTAGAGGAACGAAAACTACCAAAAAAAAAATATCATAAACTACCTACTTCCAGATCACTTGAACAAGACAAAAAAAAAAAAAAAAGTTACTCTGTGACATTACCAAAGTATCACTGCCAAGGCCAAACGTCTGACATAAGCTCTCATAATTCTCCTCCATAAACTTCAGCTGCGAGAAAAACAAAAATATTGCAAAAAATGTGTCAGGCTGTTTACAATGTAAAGGAAAATTTAAAAGATATAACTGAACCTTCTCATATATTTTAGTTTCCACCTGCTCTTTTAAGTAGGAAGTCTCCTCTAAGCTGACAGAGGCAAATATTGATTGCATTTGCTTCCAGAATGGACTCGAACAGGCAAGATCTAACAAAGCAAACAACAGTTTAGCACAAAAACATACATGTGATTCTCTACGAACCTATACAATGTTGATTAACGAAACATACAGCTGGCATTACAAGCAAAATTTGCAGCTGCTAAAAGTTCCTCACGGTCATCATCTGGATCACCTATAAAATTAAGCCATAGTATATTATTGCAGCGATAATTTTACCCAAAGCAAATTTGAATAATCCATCTAACTTTCATATCTCCAAATTTACCTTAATAGAGAATTCAAGAAAATTTTATTTCTAATCTATGAAAGTGCCAGTATGTTGAAGTAAACATAATTTTAAGCTTGATTTGGAAGTTAGAACTTCCAAATTTTAATCTTTTGGCATTGTTAATTGTAATTAACAAGGTTTACCAAGAAACAAGTGATCCTGACATAATACCTGCAAAATCAGGAGAACCAATAGCATTTATATGTCCAAGACGAGCATTGCCTTTCCGTTCTGAAATTTTCTTCAGAGGAGGACGACCTGTCTTACTGAAATAAATACAGATTACAAACATTAACGTTTCATTAGTAAAATTGTTTCTTTAAATCGTGAAGTGTCAACCAAAAGAACACACTACCTGCTACTCCTTTCAGAACCAAGCCTTGCACTTTTAAGTGGCTTTGCGGAGGCCAAATTCTCCAACTTTTCCTTAACTGGTGAAGTGCTAACCCTTGAAAATGATGAGCCCCTACCATTCCTTCCTTGTCTCCGCACACTATCTCCAGTTTCTTCTTTGCTAGTTAATTTGTTTTTCTTTGTATGCAACGTCGAAGGAACTGTATTCAGAAAGGAATTTGAACCTCTGTCATCCACTTCACCACTTCCTGCTCCTTTTTCCTTTAACTTACTGTCACGATTTTCACATGCACCCGATTCGTCACTTTCAGATAATCTGGCTGGAGATGAGATATTCTCATGTTTTACTCTTAATTGTTGGGCACCATTAGACATGCCCCTGGCAAGGGACCCATTAGTCCCAGAAGTAGTGAATCTAGTCCCCAATTCAGGAGAACAGCCTTCTGGTGATATCTGTACTTCATCATGGTTAGAGACAGGAGACACTATAGTTGTTCTTCTTGTCCGAGATATTTTTTGTGGTCTTTGACCACCCCATTGAGCCATGGAAGGGGATGAAGATCCCGTCGGCATAGGTCGGTTGCGATTAATAGCCGCATTTACCGAACAAATTTTGCTCACACTTGCAGGTTGTTCCCAGCCCTCAAGTGATCCAGATGGGCAGGGAAAATTAGGGGATACATTTCCAGCAATCAAAGGGCCACTTCGTGGTGCCCTTGAAGCCTTCCCTTTAATCAATGGGTTAGGGCTAAGCATTTGATTATCATCGCGAAGATTTAACCTAAACATGTTATAAAGAAGTCACGTGTTAGAAAATTTAATAAAGCACAGAAAAAGTAAACACCATATCAAGGAAGATTAATTCAACAACACTTTTTTTTTTTTTGATAAGTAACAGAAACTTCAATAATAAAACAAAAACTTTACAAACAAGGTACCAATGACGAGCAAGAGCAAAACTTAAGGAGTAGAACATACTTATTGTTTCCCTTGAGTCGTTCCTTGCTTAAGCAAGAAATTGAATCCCTTGAAAGAGAGACCTTCTCCAGCTCATTCTTAGTAAACGTACGGCCATTTGAGCTGGCAGGCAGAGAAGCACCATCGAACTTGTTAGTACCATTTGAGGATCCTGACCTGAAAAGGAAAAAAAAAAAAAAAAAAAAAAGGGTGGAAATTCCACATATCACAAGTCATCTAAAAGACTTAATTTTAAATCCAATACACGAGACAGAAATGTCCCATTCTGTGTGGTCACTACAGGAAAATGAATTTGAACATCACGAGCATCCATGGCACAAGAAAAGGGGGAAAAGTAAAATGTCGCAACAACATATCACCTAAAGATTTGGGCATCACAAGATGATGAACCCGGATCATTGCTAAGCTTATGATGCATAGCTCGTTTGGGCTCTCCATCATCTGAGGGTCGGCCAAGAGGAACGGCAGAGCGTTTTCTTTTCATTTTTTTGTCCCATGTCTCCCCTCCAGCAGGCAATCTTCGAATCTTTTCATCAACAATATCAGATCCTTCGCTGCAGTCTCTAAGCATATCCCTATCTTTTCCCATGATTATTGGCCGCCTTGCAAGGCTATTACTCGGCCCTTCAGCCTACAAGACAATATAGAATAAAGAATAAGAAAAAAGAAATGTCTTGTAATAGTCAAAGTGAAAACTAGATGATTAAGAAATGCAAGAATAGAAACACGATGAAACTTTGCACTATTTCATCAAACAAAAACCATATACGTATGTAGAATTACAACTGCAATTTTAAGGTGTAACACCCTTAGTATTTCAAGCAAACTAGACGATTTAGGAATATGAGAACAGTAAACATCATGAAACTTTGCATGTTTCAAGGAAAAAAAAAAAGCCATTTGTATATGTATAATTGCAACAGCAATTTCGAATTGTAACTCCCATAGTATTTCAAGCAACTACAGTTTAGGAAGGCGGGATAATGGACAGTTAATTAGAAATGGATTCTGAAATTCATTACTAGGGAAAGCTTAGTTCTTGTTTCTTAAAAAAATAAAAATAAAAATTTACTAGAGAAAGCTTAAGCTGCAAGGGGTTGCTCTGCCAACTTCACTAATAGTGTGTACCGTATATAACAAATTACCGTTATTTTTGGTTTGGATAAGGATGGTATTTTCTCCTTTTGTAAGGAGAAACGTAGTGTGCTTTCATGGATTTTACTTCTTGTACGATTTCTTAATTATTCAAATGGCTCTTGAATATGTTAGAATATAAAACTATAATTGGCATGCCTCCTAATCATAGACCCACATAATTGCTCATTGTCCACACGTGATGTGAGGAGGAGTGCAAGAATATAAAACTATTATTGATCTAGCTCCTAATAACTTAGCTTTTGAGAGAACAATAAACTAACAGAATCTTTTATTTTCTCGACGAATCTTCACGTCTTGTTCATGATGGTACGACGGTTCTCTTGTCTATTTTTCACATAGTTTTTGTCCCCCATGTTATATATTCCTTCCTACAAGGTGGTTTCTTCCTTCCTTTTCAATAGTATCACATTTCTTTAATGTCAATAGTCAAAACAATGAAACCAGTCATTTTTAGTGGAGAGGAGTTTGAAAGTCTATCAATATGTTTCCAATCAACCGACTATGAAAAGAACTGCGAACTTCCAAAAGAACAAGGAGTTTACGATTAGACATGCGCACAAACTTGATGGTACAAAAAGACAAGCAATAACAAAAATGTTCCTTACATGGTACTAATGTATGCGTGCCTATGTGTATGTAAAGTAGTAAACTTGAGTATGAGTACCCATGCAGATACCTGCATATGCCTATTTATGTAAAATATGTGCACGTTTAACCATGAACTACTTGTAACACGAAACTATTGAAACATCATTAATAGCAAGGTAAAAAATACCAAAGTATGAAGACAGAGAATGCTACTAAAAGTTGCAATATACACACCCTTATTTCTGCAACTGATGAGCGGGCTCGCCTACTCAGAATGCCATTCTTAGTCCTGTCCACCACTTTTTGATTCAAGAGTTCAGCAGGGTTTCGAGAACTCTGCGTTCCTATCTTCAAGAAATTCATCCCGCCTGATCTCTCGCTTGTCATCATCTCATTCCGTTGTTGCTTCTTAAAGTTTAAAACTTCAAAATACTTATTCACTTTGAGCTCCGATTCCTCGAAAAAATTTTTCCTTCCACTAATCAAGAAGATGATACATTATTAGTAGAGAGGAACTTTTACATTACAACAAGACCCTGACCAATAAAATCCCATCAGCAATAAACCCCAATTGCAAGAAGTTCAATACTACTTTCTTGACAATGATAAAAGAATGTATCCTGGACTAAATAGACACAGAGATTAATATTAACTCAAATTGCACCTTCTCGTATCTTCAGGAAAATAAAATTAACTTTTCATTTTAGGGTAGAAGGAAGATTTACTTACAAATTGATGCATTACCAGAAAGAATCTCAAGACACAATTACAAGAATTAAAGTATCAAATAGAAAATTTGATATTACTTGGCCTTATTAGAGGCATCCAGCACTGTTGCTTTGAGTCGTTTGAGTTCCTCTATAGCCACAGCAGGGGCAGGCTTCGAATGAGCAGCCCCAAATGAATTGTCTTCTGCATTGCTCCCAAAAGAGATTATTCCCAAAGCCCTCCTCAATTCCCCTAACCGAGTATATTTCTGAGTTTCTATTGTAATAGGATCTAACGTCAAATACTGAGTTATTGGAGGCAAATCTCCCACCAATGCAGAACTGCCCCGTGGTGTACTAGCACCAGAGCTAAACATCCGACTCTCACTACTCTCACGGAAGCTTCCCGACCTATCCAAACTGGCAATGGGGTAACTTCTCCTCTGCCCATTTGGATAGCTCCCTGCAAAATCCAAGTCCTCTGGACTTCCCAAACTTGACTCAAATCTTGCACTTCCGGCCATTACTCACAAAGTGAACCAACACATGTCTCCCAATACTTTTTTTTTGTTGCTACTGATGTCTCTCATACTTTATTAATAAGCAATAACAACTTGTTTCAGCATCTAAAGAAGTTCCTCTGAGCAACAAAAATAATGCTACCCATTTGGAGATAACGCGCATTCATAAATAAGACCCAGCCTTAACCCACCTGAGGCGTATCTGCAATACCACAAACTAGAATTAATACGAAACAAAAACATTTTTCGTTGAAACTATATTTTTTAACGTACAACAAATTATCCACTAAGTAATTTAAATTTAGTCCAAGACTAGTTTATCCCCTAAAGAAAAGAACATATCAACTCCATGTGTTTCTACCCGAGAAGATTTGGGAAAATACAACTATTAGTTATAAGTTAATACTGTTATAATGAGCCAAAACACAGGTGAGAAAAAAGCTTCTTTTTACTGGAATCGCATAGAAATCTACACTTGGAAAAACGCAAAACGTCTTCAAAAATTTTGCATTGTTTATGAATTCTCCCAGCAACCAAACAGAAGTCGAGCCAAATTCAAAATCAATAATAAATGAATAAAAATAAGAAATTGAACACTTAAAATGACCGATACATCAAAATAGAACCACACGCAAAATCAAGCTCTCAAGTTCAACACCATAAAAGTTCAAATAATAATAAAAAAAAAAAAAAAAACCCAAACTTCCATCAATTCAGAGAGCAAAACCTAACCAGAAAATCAAATTCAACCTCAATTCAAGGACGAAATTAGCTGTGCGAAAACAACCTCGATTCAAGCGAAAAAAAGAACTAGGGTTTTCCGAACTTCAAACTCAAATTCAACTCCAACATCACTCGCGAAGCACAAAATTCGAGCAGAAATAATCCAAGAACAATCAAGACGAGAGCAGAATTTACCGGCATTGATCAATCGGAGAAGAGATCGTACCGTGTGTGTAGAGAGAGAAGCGAGGGGGTTTTGGAGAGAGAAAGTACGAAATAGAAGGATTGTGGCAGGCGCTGTCGTCGTGGAGATTCTGCGTGCGAGAGAGACCGAGGAATTTTGCGGGCCCCGCATGAAATTTAGGGCGGGGTGTGAGGGCAGTCGCGCTAAAATCAGGGCCCTTTATCAAGGTTTTTGGATGTGGAAGTGGGACCCTCTGCAACTCTTAACATGTCAATTGACTTGTCTTACTTTGGAATATACTCTTCTTGTTCTATCATTTTTTTCAGAAAATTTTATTTTAATAACTGATGTTATATCGAAATGTACAGATAAGAATACATGCAAGTACCTTAACGTGTTAGAAAATAACTTTTTAATACCTCAGTATAGTTTTTTAAGACATAAAATTATTTAATTTATTTAGATTTAAGAAAAAACATATTAAATATTTTAAAAAATCATGAATAAAAAAATTAAAAACTCAAATTTTAAAATATATTTAAAAAATTTTAGTTTCTAATTAATTAATTATAAGAGTAAATTTCACGTTTTATATTCTAAAAAACTCTTAAGGTATCAAAAAATTATTTTCTAAAATGTCAAAATACCTACATAAATTATGAAAAATATAAAATACACATATTTTTTTAAGGTATTATATTTTTTAAGTCATGTGTTTTAAATTTATTCAAAATTTAAATGATAAACTTAGTGCTCAATCTCCCGGAAAAGGAAAAGAATACTAAAGAAAGCAAGAACTTGAGGCCTCGTTTATTTCGCTGATTCGAGTTTAGAATTTGAGTTTTACTACAGTAAAAAGCTCTCACAAACAATCACATCTAACTTTTTTGCTACAGTAAAAAGCTCTCACATAAAATCACATCTCAACTCGAATTAAAAACTCAAATCAGCGAACTAAATAGGCCCTAATCTTTATTGTTATGTATTTAAAACTCTGATTTTATATGAAAATTTTTACTGTAATAAAAAAATTAAATGTGACTATTTCTGAGAGCTTTTTACTGTAGTAAACTCGAATCAGTGAAATAAATGGGGCTTAAGCCATTAGCAACATCTAACAGACTAACAACAGCTTGTTTCTGTAAAACAGACTACAAAAACCAATTACATTTTCTTATTCTTACTAACAAAAACTTGCCTAATTAAAGGCTTATCAGTTACACCGCCGCTCAAAAAAAAGTCGCCTTGTTCTCAAGGTTAAAGTCCAGAAATTGTTGCTGCTTGACATCAAATAATTCTCAAGAATTCTCAAAATCAGGTAAGTGACGCCATTTAAGTAGGACTTCCAACTGTTCTGTAAGAGGAGAATAATGAGTGTCCAAGAGCTGTTCCGGTCCCACATGTAATCCTAAATTTGCTGAAAGAGCGGGATGCAAAGATTTTGTGACGCCGCAGAAACTCCAATGGCTTTTTTTTTTAACATGGAAACATGAAAAACAAGATGGAGTTCGGCATCAGCGGGCCCGAACAAGCACCTTGTAAGGACCATAATGCTGCGGAGAAAGTGTTTCATTGATAGCCCGCACCATGAGCGATGACGATAAGGTCGTAGCTTCAAATAAATCAAATCGCCTTCATCAAAACTCACATCCTGACGCTTCTTATTGACTATCATTTTCATAAAAATGCTGAGCCCCCAGCAAATGCCCTTTTAACTCATCTAAAAGAGCATCTTGAGCCTGCAATTGCTGTTCCAGCCATGAATTGGCAGTGGAACCAACCTCATAACGGATCAATTGAGGGACGTCGCAGCCATAAAGAGCCCCAAAAGGAGTCATTGCGGCTGAAACATGGAAGCTGGTGTTGTACCAGTATTCAACCCGAGGCAAATGAGCAAACCATTAGTTTGGTTTCTTCGAAACAGAGCAACGTAAGTAGGCTTCCAAACGACGATTTACAACTTTAGATTGGCCATCCGACTGAGGGTGATAAGTTGTACTGTAACTTAAAGAAGTGCCCAAATACGGCTTTGAAAAATTTTATCGCGATCGGAAATAATCGTCCTTGGAAGCCCATGAAGGCAAACAACTTCTTTGACAAAAAGTGCAGGCACCAACATGGCAGAAAACGGATGGCGAAGACTGAGAAAATGAGCATATTTACTTAGACGATCCACAACAACCAAAAACGAATCACAACCATCAGATTTAGGCAGCCCTCGGCCAAAACCCGTCATAATGTGATGAACTATCCTTGGTCATACTAGTATATATACTAGTAGAGGGGAGAATAAAGCTTAAATAGAAAAGAATTTTGAGGTGGAGAAGGTAATAAGAAGTTGCAGAATTGAAAAATAATAGGAAATAGAAAGGAGAGAAAAGAGCAGCTTCTTCTTGTGATGCAGTAAGAAAATAAACAAACATATTAATCCACAACACCAATTTGGTAACCGACTTACTCAAGTCGGTTCATATCCAATTAGCATAACAATAATATTTATCCAACAAAATAATAATAATATAGAATACATACATGCCAGTACCACTAAATGTCCGTTTAGTTCGTTAATTTGAGTTTGATATATGATTTTATGTTAAAGTTTTTTACTATAATAAAAAAGTTAGATGCAACTATTTTTAAGAGTTTTTTACGGTAACAAAACTCGAATTTTAAATTTAAATCAGTAAAATAAATAAGACTTAAGACTTTAATGATAATAATAACAGCAACAACGATAATAATAGTAACAATCTATTCTAATAATAACGATAATAATAGTAACAGTTCATTATAATAAATGGCATAGTCTTATAAGACAAACATCTAAACTAATAAAAATTATGCTATTTATGATCCTCTTTAAATTAGCTCAAAAATTAAACTAATGATTTCGATTCGTATATTAAAGAGTCTGGGTACAATGTATCGATTTTTCTAAGCTCTTTCTTCGTCCATATAAAATTACTCAAGGGCGCGTTTAGAATTTATTTCAAAATAATTTTATTTTTTGTATAAAAATAAAAATAAAAAAATTTTCAATTTTAGACAGAAATCATTTTTAAAAATACATTTGGTAATATTATCAAGATATTATTTTCAATATAAAAAAACACATTAATGTCTCTCTCTACTTGAGAGATGAGAAAACGAAAACAAAAAATGAAAAACAACTAAAAGTCGTTTTTCATTTCTCTCTTATTTTACACTAAACTAAAAAATCGTTTTCATTTCCGTTTTTGTCTTTATTGCGCCAAACTTCGTTTTGAAAACGTTTTTATTTTTTCTTTCTCAAAAAATGTAAAAAATAAAAATGAGATCAATTTCAAACACGACCTCACATTCTCACTCACTCCTTCATTCACGTCTCACTCTCTCTCTCTCTAGAAAAAAATGATTCTCGGTTTCTTCTTCACCATGCAAAGGTAAAAACAAACCCTCTTTTAATTTAATGTTGGGAAAAGTCTGAAATTGAAGGTGTTATCAAGGTTTTCTTCACAAAAAGAAGGGATTGAAGTAGGATTTTTGAAAACTGATAGTTTGATATTATCTTTGCTAATGTACATTTTTCCTTCTTTTATTCCATGAAATTTCGGATTTATCTTGGTATAATTATTGATAAACATGGGCTTTATGCTCTATGTTGATTAAACATGATTTTGAGGAAATATGTTCATTTGCTATGTTAAATTGATGATTTTGCTTGATGATCATGATTAGAATTTTGAGAATTTGATCATTATTATTACCCAATACAATGTTGGTGTGGATTGTGTAAGGTTTAAGTGATTTTTTTTTTAAATATAAAAATTTAAGGTTTAAGTATGGTTTTTATTTGACACTTTGATATGTTGATACGGCACACTAGTAAAAAGATAAAAGTTTTGCATAATTGAACCTGATTATATGAGTTTGATTTGGTTCTAATTCGTTGATTTGATAACAAAGCCAGTGACATTATTAAACTTGGAGTTTCAGAAATCAACAAGATTTGACAGTCACGAGAAGTTATCTGTAAATTTATTTTCTAAAATCGTTAGATTATATTAACTATATCCTTGATAGCCATGTTTTGAATCCTATTTGACCTAATGATGAAAATGTTAAAGATAAACATGTTTTAGAAACACTGACTTGTGAAATACAAAGAGAATTTTGAGAAATGATATAGTATATGTAATATAAAATGTAATAGAGTTTATGATATTTTGAAAGGAATTTGAGAATATGTTTAGACTCGGAATGAGATATTTGAGCAATGATAAATAAGATTTCAAATATTGTCTAGAATGCGTTCTAGATAGTTGGTTTTGGTTAATAGCCTATCGGAGATCGAGATATAGAGATCATATCCTTAAAGTAGATCTCAAAATCTATACAAACCACTTAATAGTGTGAGTGGTGATTGTTGAAAAAAATAGCTTGTTAAGCCATTTTAAAGGCCCATTTTGAGGCTCATATTCGGATGGGGCCCAATAGGTTTTTGAGACGGGTCTCGATGGATTTGCATTCTCCGTTGTAAGGAGATCAAAATCGAGTATTCATACACTCAAAATGGATTTTGAGTGAATGAGAAATTGATGGTCTAAGTATGGTACTTGGAATGGTAAACGTAGAAGAAAAATTACAAAAATCCCACATTGGCTAGGAGTGAAGCCAATGTGGTGTTTATAAGTGATTGCACTTTGAAGCCTAGGCATGTATACCAGAGACGCTCTCTCACGCGCAGGGGGGTGCGAATCACGATCCCAGCGGGTTTGGGGCCTAATGTGTGCGGTAGGCGGACACAAATGCCGGATCGGAGGCCAGATTTATCATGGGATTTCATACCGGTTTTGCCTCATAATATTGCAGAGTAATGGTTGTTTTTAACACCATTAATCCAGGATTAAATCTGGGTTGTAACACCCAGATTTTGGACCCTATATAAGGCATACTCCACATGAACATGCCTCACACCTCCACAGAGCATTCTCATATCTCTCTCTCTCTCGTCTCTTCTGTTTTTTCAGAATTTCTTTTGTGTTCCTAAAAATTCGGTTTGGTGATAGAGGAAATGTCCGAGTTCTAATTTGCCGGACGGTTCCGATAGTGCATCGAGTTACCGTCGTTGTCGTTGTATCTTGAGAAACGGACGTCCAACGTTGCCTCAAACACTCACCGGAGGGGATGGATCTATTTTAAGGAAAACGTGGTCCATGTGCCTCGACATCCTTGCAACTTTCATTTCTGAGTTTTGGTAAATGTTGAATTACAATTATATGAATTTCAGTTTTGTTCTTTTTGTTCCTCCTTTTGTATTATCCATTATTTATTCTAACAGTGATATCATGACTTTGTAAGGATTCAAGTTTATGATTTATATTATTCAATAAAATACTGCTTTATTAAATTGTTCTATTTTATCAAAATTAAATCCTAGCAGTCTTTCCATTGTGCTTAACCCCTTCCAAACAGTGTCTAGTGTAGTGCCAAGCGGGTGGTGATATTTGGAGATGCTAGAACACGTTACTTAAAGTGCAGAACTACTGTTATCTTATTTAATTGTATTTCCTGTCAAGACATATAGATATTGTTTTTTGAAGTAAAATTTTTAAAAAATTTGAATTTAAGTTATAATTTTATTTAAGTTAATGTTCATTTGTAAAATTTAAGTTTGAACTTGAATTTAAGGCTAAAATCTGAGTTCAAGTTTCCCCTTCAACTTAAGTTCTTAAGCTCAAACTCAAGTTAATAAGTAATATTTTTTCTATTATTAAAAACGTCATAACTTTTTCGTTTTAATTCTGATTGAGAAGCTTTTTTTTCCTATGCGTTCACAACGAAGAGACGAATAAAACCCTACCCATATACCCTATTAAAATTTTTCATCACCATTGAGTTTTTATTAAAATATTATTTAAATACAAATTCAAGTTTTGACTCACTCAAACACAAATTCTAAATTCTCAATTCAAATCATAACTCAAATGTACACATCTAAACAAACTCAAATTACAACTTCAACTTAAATTATAACTTAAATTCAACTTAAAATCTACACTCAAGTCATCATAATTTAAAAATGCAACCGAACAAGCCCATAATAATTGAACTTTCTAAACTTTTAAATTGTGTTGATGTGTGTTTTATTTTATTTTCTGTCATTTTATATATGCTAAGACTTGAATTTTCTGTGGAAATTTTTATATGATGCCATAGGTTGTTTTTATTTGAAATCCCTATTATACTCTTAAAAGCTTAAGCTACTTGATGAAAATTTTTCAGAATATAAAACTAGAATAGTTTATTTTTCTTCACCAAGAAATCATGAAAAAAGAAAGCAAATAAATGACACGTTTAGAATTCGTTCTAAAATAATTTTATTTTTTGTATAAAAATGAAAATGAAAACGTTTTCAATCTCAGACAGAAATTATTTTTGAAAATGCGTTTGGTAGTTTTATCAAGAGATTGTTTTCAATGTAAAAAAACTCATTAATGTCTCTCTTTCTCTCTCTCTCTGCTCAAGAGAGAGGAGAAAATGAAAATAAAAAATGAAAAATGACTAAATTTTTTTTTTCATTTCTCTCTCATTTTACACTAAACTAAAAAATCGTTTTCATTTTCATTTTTTGTCTTTATTGCACTAAACGTTATTTTAAAAACGTTTTTATTTTTTTTTTCTCAAAAAATGAAAAAAATAAAAACGGAATTAATTTTAAATATAACTTCAAAATTATTTTTCATATCCCTCTCATTTTATACTAAATTAAAAAATTATTTTTATTTTTATTTTTTATTTTTAATTTTATCAAATGTTGTTTTAGAATCGTTTTTTTTTTTTTTTTTTTTCCTAAAGAAACATAAAAAACAAAAACAAGGCACTTTCTGCGTGGAATCCGACGTGGCTTCCTATCCCAATACATCGAGCTAGTAAGAATGGTCCCACACAAAAATGACGTAATATTCCATCACTCCCACCTAACAATATAATAAAAGTGAATAAACAATTCGTAAGGCACCATTGTTGTACAGAAATATAAGAGAGAATACAGACTTGAGTAGTTAGATACAGCTATCATTCTCGTCATCAGTTTTTCTTCAAAAAGCTTCCTCTCTCTCCATTTTCCCAAATCGAAAACCCGAATCCATGGCCTTCGCAAACACGCCCTTCTTCGCTTCGTCGTTCTCCGCCGCTCGCCGGCCGAGAATCGCCGACTCCGATCACCCCGTTCCTCTTCAGCTCGCGCCTTGTGAGCCCTTCAATGTCGCTCCGTTTCACCAGAATTGCTCTCAGCCCGCCCGAGCTTTTTCCAGAGCTAGGTAAAACTTTCTCGAACCCCCTGTTTGGTTCCCGGGAAATTGAACTTCCTTTTGGTTTAAGTAGACTTAGAATTTGGTGTTCTTTTGGATTTTCTTTTGTTTGAATGAAAGATTGGGAAATGAAACTATTTTGTAACACTAATCGAAATTTAAAGTTACTTTTTTCTTTTTTTTTTAATAGCAAATTTCAATCTTTGTTGGCTTTCGTATATTGTTTATAAAATTTCTCCAATTTTGTTGTGCAGGACTGTTGTGCAAGCGTCTTCCAATGGTCTGAATGCTGTTGGTTCGACCCCATTGGTTAGTAACATGCTTACTAGACTTGACATTTCCTGGTTATGACTCATGGGTGGTTATGGTGGTGAATTTTTCTTTCTAACTGAAACTTTGTTGGTAACTACATATTTATTCGTTTCGCTCGTTTGGGTTAAATGAATTTGAGTTAAAAAGTAAATTTATGTGGGAGAAAACACTTTAGCAAACAAAGTTGAAGAGTGAAAACACTGTAGGAAAAATTTGAGTTATAACTCGAATTAATGAAACAAATGGGGCCATAATGTTTCACGTACTACATTTCTTGCAACCATGAATTGGTTTATTCTTTGAAAGTTACTACTGTTCTTTCCCGCATTCTTTTTAAAGGTTCTTGATAGGTGATTTTTCAAAGGAAAGATTTTGTGAAATGGATGATACTTCAGCTACATTGATCTATATGGCTTGTGGTTGTTGTTTTTTATTTTATTTTTATTTTAAGGATCGCTTCTTATCTCATAATAAGATTTAACACGAGACACAGGCTTTTACTACTAAATTCTTGGTGTTCATAGACGTAGTAAACTGTTTGTAGATGTAGTGTAAAGCAATCAAAGCTTTGATGGGAAAGTTCAGAAACTGCACAATTGGTGTTCTTTCTTTTCTTTTTCTTTTTTTGTCTTGTCTTGGCTGCTTCACTTGTCTTTGGATCTCCTTGAGAGTTGAGAGGCCTTGTTGAACTGAATGATGGTTCATGGGTCCATTATGCATGACGTCTTCTCTCATTCTTTTCTAATGTTTTCTCTTATCATCTCTCCCTCTTTGTTGATCCTTGCTTTCTCCTCATTTCTCCTTCACTTTCTGTCTTTTGAGAAAAAGATCGGTTGACTTGAGTTGTATCTGTTGAGAAATAGTCTATGTTTGTATTAGAACTAGTCTATGTTTGTATTAATCCTCAATTAGTCACTATTTATATCCATCATTTTCTCTTTTAGAAAGTTGCTTAATTTTGGCAATTGATTTTCTATAGCAGCATGTCATTTTGAAGCCTTACCTATAGCAAGTTGTGTTATCCCATGGATTTGCTATGACAGATATTTCCTTCCTCTTATTTTCAATTTGGTGATGTTTTGCAACTAGAATTGTCCCTTTCTGTAGCTCCAAAGAATTTGTGGTGTGGTATATATACTCCATTGAATTTTATCTTGGAATTATATCAATTTTTTAATCGTCAAATCTCAAGTATGTTTGCAGCTCTTCTATTAGTAACAGAAAATTATTGTAAGTGCACTGAATAATCTATTATCATTGTCATTATTATGCTCATGATCATCGTAATGGTTGTTGTTGTTGTTGTTATTTTTGTCGTCTTTTGAAATTTGAATGTTGAATATTTGTTAGGGTATTCAGTGTGATTAATTAAGCATATGCACGTGGTTTTTACTTGAATTTTGTCTATTGATTGAGTTGATTGTTGGGGCACTTTTACTGCAGAAATCTGAACAAGATGCTGATTATGTTCCAATGCCAATTGTGATGATAGATCAAGATTCAGATTCTGATGCGACAATTGTACAACTTAGTTTTGGGGATCGCCTTGGAGCTCTCATTGATACGGTAAAGTGTCCATTAGGAGACTTTTTATATTCTTTCATTATTGGATGCAATGTTATGTTTGAGTTGTGTATGAAAGCTAAAAGGATCTCTCTGTTTTAGACTAGAGAGATTTTCTTTGTTAATGAAAACATTCTTAAGGTGTCACATTTTTTGTTGCTAGCGGATCTTGTTTAGACTTTGGAATTCCAAAGTTGATATCTTAAGATGTACTATTCTATGAATTTAGAATCTGAGTCACAAAGTACCCTTCAGGTTCAGTCCAGGAGATCAAAGTCAAGTATGATATTCAACCATTTGGAGGGTCTCCCTCCCTTTGGTCTGACCTCTTTATCAAATGAACTGAACCTCAATACCACAGTTATCAAAGAGATGTTATAATCAATTTATTGACTTAGACATAATTGGCATAGTAGCTTTACAGGAGGACCTGAGCAGAGAATTTTCTCAAGTTTTTTATTTTATTTTATTTTATTTTTTTGTGGATGATCATATGCTTGAATGTGATTAACATTGCTTTGTTCTTTGTGGTTTATTTTGGGCAGATGAGAGCATTGAAGGATTTGGGGTTAGATGTGTCAAAGGGAACTGTTGCAACTGAGGGTTCAGTTAAGCAAACGAAAATTTATATAACGCGATTGTAAGTACTCGTGTATCTGACTAAATATACATGTGTGTGTGTGTACGCTTTATGCATAGATATCTCCTTTTGGGCCGGAAGTCAAATTTATTTTACGAATGATATTTGGGATAAGAAACAGAGAGGTCTGTACGTTTCATAGGCGTGATCCTCTCTTATTTTCTACCATTCTAGGCATTCATCTCTCATAGCATGCAGTTGGATCATTTACGTGGATTTCTGCACTTGTTGTAGTTGATTGTGATGACCGCTTAAATAACAAACGAAGATACACACACGCTTGTGCACATACATAAAGAGACGGAGAGAAATTACTATTGGGGATACTTCATTCTGGGTTTTAACACCAATGCCTCAACCTTTTTTTTTCTTTTTTTAAAGTAAATTCACCGAAAAAACTTTTTAAAGAATATTAATGTTTTATTTGGATGATTGTTTGTTTGCAGCATGGAGGATTTTACTTGTCAACCAAATGATATTGAATGCTTTTACTTTTTTGTTAACAAAACAATATCTTAATGCAAATTTATCCTGAATCTTGAATCTTGAATCCTGAATCCTTAATCCTTAATCATTAATTATATTAAAAGAGCAGATGTTGCTCTACTGTTCATTTTGGTCGTCCTTTACTCACCATTTGGTGCTTTGCCCTTTTCTTTTTCCTTTTCTTTTCCTTTATTTCTTTTACTTTGCATTCTTTACCCCTTTTTTCCTTTATTTCTTTTTCTTTTTTGTTTTTTCTTTCTTTCTTTCTTTCTTCTTTCTTTATTTTCAGTTCCATTTGTCTACCACAGACTCTTGTACCAATATTTCCCCACCTGTTTTTATTCTGTTCCTCTTTTATTGTTCTCCTTATTTCAACTTTATTGCTCTCTCATGGATTTCTTATACCTGAAATCTTAATTTTCTCATCGGAAATCTCCTTGTGATCAATTTTGACTTCTATTGCAGTTAATTCATTTCATGGTCAAAACAGTTAATAAACTTTATATTTCATAAATCTCAGGATTAGGATTTTATATTATTCTTTTTATTCATATTCTACGTTTTTCTTTAAATCTATTCATAATCTACGTAATCAAAAACTTCAATTACAAACTCAGTAACTTCAATTACAAACTCAGTATGTGCATCACACGTACCTCAACTCTGTGTGTGTATATATTATCCTAAATCCAAATCCTATTCTAAATATTTAAAATCCTAATCCTACTAAATGCTAAATATATTAAAGATTGGATATTTAACTACTATTCATTCCATGGTAGTCAATAAATGGAAAACGATGAGTTTTAGATGCGTTACTTTTTTTCCCCTTTTATTTTAAGTTTCAAATCCTTTACTTATTTATTTATTTATTTGTTTATTTTGTTATATGTGGCTATTGTTCATTCCATGGTCGTCCAAAACAGTGAGTTTTAGGTGCTTTTACTTCTTCTTTCTTTTTTTTTTTTTAATTTTTCTCTTAAGTTTCAACTTTTTTTTTCTAATTTTTTTTTATCTTATAATTTAGAATGTTTATGTAACCTTTTCACTTAAATTACTATTAATGTGTATTCTTTTTTAATTTGTAAGTAACTTTTTTCTGCATGCGGTTCGTATTCTAAATTATAAAAATTAAAAAAAAAAACTCAATATGTGCAACACGCGTATCTAAACTAGTTTACCAATAAAATTGCAAGGAAACCAGGTGTAGTCTGAAAGCGAATATCTTCTGTTCACCTGAAACTATGGCTGCAAAAATAAATTCCCATGTTTTTTGCCCCCAAAAAAACTTATTTAGATACACCTGTTTCGGGGTAAAACATCTAAGCGGTTGTCAATTTAACAATTTAGTATTCACCTGTGTTTGAAGCTCCAAAACAATTACTATTCATACTTAATCTTTCTTTTTCTTCATGCTTCTACCTTCGACTTATGAATTTGTGCGCATCAAAATGTTTTAAGCACTTTGTAGGTATATACCTAAGCATGCGAAATCTGAACTTAAAACTTAATTTAATGAGTTAATGCTAGAGATAGTGGGCGCAAAGTCGAGGACCCTGATATGTTGGAGAGAATTCGACTTACCATCATCAATAATCTGTTGAAGTATCATCCTGTACGTATGCGACTTATACTTGATTTTTGTCCTTGACCTTTAGGTTTCTTAGAATGCAAGTTTCAGAGAACTTTTGTTTAAAATTTCTGTTTTTATATGAGGTTGTTTTGTTTAGTATCCGGGCTTCTCCTCTATCTTTTGCTAGGAATCCAGTCAACAACTTGCAATGGGTGAGGCATTTGGGATCAAAGCTCCAGAGAAGAAGGTGAGTGTTCTTGTTTATTTTAGCCTTAAAACTCCGCAGTTTTTATCTCTGTGTATTCGTGGAGTATCTGGTTTCCATTCTGTATCTAATGCATTCTAGTGATTGCTCTGCTCTCCAACAATCTTTTGAGAGTAAAACTTTTGGTTGAACAAGTAAAAATGATGTTGCAGCTCTGTTCATATCTTTATATGCTGATGGTAACAATGTCTCAGCATCAAAAAAGTCTATTGTTCTTGGAAGAAAACATCTATTTTACCCTGTGGACAATTTGTTTAAAATAGCTTGTTAATTCAAGCAGTATGGAAACATTGGATGTGTTGGAAGGGTCTAGAGTCTTTATCTTCTAATAATAGCTAGTGCTACTTAGTTGTAAATAACCGTGTTATTTAGTGTATGCTATTTTTAGCTTGTTAAGTTCTATATTGTCTTGTATTGTTAAATAGTAATGGCGCCAACTTTTCAGCAGAAAAAGAAAAAAAAGTCACATTTCTGATATCTTTTTTTTTATTTAAATCCACTATTTAATCCTAGAAATTTAAGTCAGCTTGAATTCTTAAGTATATCATAAACATCAAGATAAAGGCAGCAAATAAGAATGGAGAGGAGGAGAGGAAGTATCTTCTGGTGCTGTTACACCGGGCGGTGTTGTTGCTGCTCTGCTCGAAGATGGGGCTGGGGTTTAGGTGAAGGAGTTTTTTTCTTACACTTTTTCTTCTCGTTCATAGAACTAGAGCTCTAAAACTGTGGTTTACTCAAAAAAAAAAAAAAAAAAAAACTAGATCACATTCATCACAGATCCAAAAAACCAATGTAGAGAGACTCATAATTCATTTCCAAAAAAAAAAAAAAAAAAAAAAAAAAAGAGAAACAAAAACCAAAAGGTCCAAAAGGGCTCTTGCTTGAGGTTTTAGCCTCAAATGCCTTGACGCTTTTAAGCCTCAAGGCGTATGCCTCTATCAAAAAAGGAACAAGCCTTATTTTAGAAACAATGGCGTGCCCCTCCAAGCGCCTTGAGGCCACCTCAGTTTGAGGCGCGTCTCGAGGTGTTTGAGGCACGCGCTCTCTAAACCATGGTAAGCAAGTTAGGAATGCGAATTATCTTTGCACCAACTTGAAGGGGTTTGTTGGAAGGGTCTAGAGTCTTTATGCTCTAATAATAACTACTAAGTTGTAAATAGCTGTATTATTTAGAGTATCCTATTTTTAGCTTGTTAAGTAGTAGTTGGTAGATTCAGTTAATAATTGAACTCATGTATATATTGGTGTATTTCCTGATGAATAATATACAAAAAGCGTACTTTTTCGTTTGGATAAATTTAGATTATTGTCCATGTTTTGTGACTAAAGTAAGATATAATTCTTCTTTTCTATATTTGAACAAAATGAGGATGCACATATGTATGCAAGAAATAGCAATTTATCCATCTACCAACTACTATCTAAACTAGCTATAAATAGTTTATTCTTAATTACAACTAACACCTAGTAAACTCTAGAATCTTCAACACTCCTCCTCAAGTTGGTACGAAGATACATTTCATTTTCTACTTGCTTATCAACTATTGAAATGTTGAACAAGGTATTTGTTTGGTGAGTACATTTGCAAGTTGATAATGAGAAGGAATATAGGGAGTACATACTTGTAAGACTTAAATTCTAGTATCGTTTTATTATTTTGTGATGTTTTATGATTATTAAGGGAATTTTAATATGTTTTAACTCGTGCATAATCCGATCGTAAATGCCGTTTATGGATTAAATTTCAGTAAATTTAATAATTGGAGCAAACTCATAAAAATAAATTGCATATGGAATTTTTAACATTGAAATCTTCGATCAGAGCGTCAAAATTAGTTAAGAAGGGAATGTTTCAAAAAATTCTCTTCCGAGACTAAAATTCTACAAAACTAGGGCTCAAAAAGGGTATTAATCAAGAGTAGGAGGTAAAGTTCCAGACTCATGCACTCTAAAGGTAAGTTCAACAATTTACTCATTTTAAAAATGTGTGGGCAAAAAATAGAAAAGCTGGTAGGTTTCTAAAAGTTTTTGACTGGATAATTAGAAGTCACAACCCAATATAGCAAATAGAAATTTAGTTTAGTTTAAAATTAAATTAAGCGGAGAACATATTGATTATTTCCAATACTTAAAATTACTCTCTTCTTTCTCATGCTCTCTATCACTCTCTTTTTTTTTTTTTATTAAAAAAAAAAACAGAAATCCGTAAGTATATAGAGAACCTATCAAAAATCCTTCAAAGCACCAATTTTTCATAAAAAATTTTCCCCTAACTCATAGAAACTGGAGTGCTCTGCCAAATCCTACAATCTTTGTAGGGTAGGAAACTATGACTTTTGTCATGTAGGTTTCTATGAGGTGGTTAAACCTTGTGGGAGCAAACTAAAGGCTTGACCATTCCAACCATTACCGAATGGGGTTGGAGTTAGAGTTTTTGAGCCCTACAAATATCGCAAAATTTGAGTTTAAGGTTAATATGAGAATAGGAGTTCTTGAAATCCATCTTGGTAAGTTTTTCTTACTTAAACTCGTTCATTGGTTAATTTCTTTTAGTGGTTGGGTTTTAATCCAGGTTTGAATGATTGTTTCATAATATCTAACACATCCAAATCCGACAATCAAGCCAAACATTTCCCTACTCCAAGCGGTGAGTTCATAATCAAAATAAGGCCAAATTTCATTATTTCTTTGAGGTTGAGAGTCATCAACCTTAAAAACTATGAGACTAAGTTAGAATTAATATGTTGATTATTTAGTAGCCAAATTTCGTTATTTCTTCAAGGTTGAGAGTCGTCAACCTTTAAAAACTATAAGTCTAAGTTAGAATTAATATTTTGATTATGTAGTGTGATTTTTTATGATTAAGGTTATTTTCTGGTGTTTGTTTGAACGTGACACTCGTGAAGGAAGGCTCTGTTCATATCAAAAATCAACATGCGATTACGATTAAGAGATGGTGCATTGAAACACATTGGAAAAATGTCAAAATAGAAGGCAGAGCAAGCTGGATTGGAATAGAGGGGCTTCCACTTCACATGTGGAACAGTCATATGTTCGGTCCCATGTGATTTTGAAGATAGGCAATGGTAGGAGAGTGAGATTTTGGGAGGATGAGTGGGCCGGGGAAGAGTCTCTTGCTGCTTCTTTTTCAAATCTATTTAGACTGTCAAACCTTCACAATCAGGCCATTTCTTCTTTCTATTCCATAGGTAATGATGCCACTATTTCTTGGAATTTCCATTTTAGGAGGAACCCTAGTGAGAGGGAGTTGGGTGAGGTGGTGGGGTTGTTATCCTGTTTGGAGGGGGTGAGAGTCTGTGTTGCCTTAGAAGATAGGTGGGTGTGGGATTTGGAAGGGTCGGGGATATTCTCTTGTAAGTCCCTTTTCAATTCTCTAGTTGACAATCAATCTTTTCCGCCTTTCCCTTTTTATTATTTTGTTTGGAAAATTTCGGTTCCTACAAAAATTTTGGGTTTTTGGCTGGTTACTTTCACTTTGGAAATTGAATACGCAAGATATGTTGCAAAAGAGGAGGCCTTTCCTCTCTATTTCTCGGGTTGGTGTATGTTGTGCAGGAACGAAAATGAGACTTCGGATCACTTGTTTCTTCACTGCTCTTTTGCTTTGAAGATTTGGCATAAAATTTTAGGGGAGTTTTGGTTGCAGTGGGTTTTTCGGAGAAGTATTCCTGATTTAATGGGTCTAGATGTCTCGGCTGGTTGGAATAAGAAAGTTTCCCGGCTTTGGAACATTATAATACTAGCTTCCCTTTGGGCGTTGTGGCTGGAAAGGAATAATCGAACCTTTGAAGGGGTTGAGGGAAAGATTTGTGAGGTTTAGGATCGCATAATTTATTGGGTGGCGCTATGGACTTCACAAGATAAAAAATTGAAGACTGTTTCTTTCTCGGATATGTTAAAGGGATGGGATTTAGTGAAGGCTTAGTTTTCGTATTAGCTTTTTGCGCTTGTGTTTGTTTTACTTTATAGTTCTTTTTTGTTTATATTTCTTTTTTGTTCGCTTAGTTCTGTTCCGTGGACTTCTTGTTCTCGCGAAAAAAAAAGATCTACTTAGGGGGTGGAATAGTATATTTCGTTAAGCCTTTCTATGGTTTTTGGTTTAGTAGACCTTAGACCTTTAGGCTTTTTGTGTTTTCTTGGTGGACCGCTTGTCCCCTTTTGTATTTGCTTTCTTTTTTATTTAATTCAAGGTTCCCGTTTCTTATAAAAAAAAAAAGTTAAAGTGTTTGGTGTTCTACATAAGAGAAAAATATGACTTTAGGGAATGCTCTAATTAAAAAATAAAACTGTAATTTTTGAGAATGTTTTTGCCTTATTAAGTTTTTGAATTTTAAAGAAGTTTTGAGCTGATATTTGATATGTAGAACATCTGAAATGGAGACCTGTAACCTAAGTTATAAATTTTTAAAGTTTTTCAAAGATATTGGAATTTTTGCAGAAAACGAGATTTTTACAACCAGTTTGTAAAATGGCGTGGGTTTGGAAATGTTGGGCTCTCATGTCAAATCTAGGCTTGAAATGTCATGTCAAATGAAACATTGTGTTGGACCCGTTATGTGCTTCAAATCACCCAAAACCTACATGCCAAACAACCCCTTAATGGCCTTAACAGACTCAAAACGAGTCATATAATATTTCAAAGTAAACATCTAGAGCTTCGTTTTGAGATATTATATGACCCATTTTGAGTCTGTTAAAGCCATTAAAAACGTTTTACAAGCTGACTGTAAAAATCTCTTCTTTTGTAGAAATTTGCACAACTTAAAATCTCTAGCTATAGGTTCAAAAACTTAAACTCAAAATCCATAACTTTGGCTACGGATCTCCCTTTTAGATGATTCACAAATCAAATCGAAACTTATGAGGTGTTTGGTATGAGGATTCGTGTCATGGTTTGAATTATTGTTTATGGCTCGTTACAGTATTTTCTCTTACAAAAAACACGCGTAAACCGAGAATGATTCTGAATCATGGTTTTGAATCTATGAACCAAACGTCTACTTAAAATCTCTAGCTATAGGTTCAAAAACTTTTTAAATCATTACATTTTCAGAAATTACAGAACGGTTCATATAATATTTCAAAGTAAACATCTAGAGCTTCGTTTTGAGATATTATATGACCCGTTTTGAGTCTGTTAAAGCCATTAAAAACGTTTTACAAGCTGACTGTAAAAATCTCTTTTTTTTTTTTTTTGCAGAAATTTGCACAACTTAAAATCTCTAGCTATTGGTTCAAAAACTAAACTCAAAATCCATAACTTTGGCTATGGATCTCCCTTTTAGATGATTCACATATCAAATCGAAACTTAAAATCTCTAGCTATAGGTTCAAAAGCTTTTTAAAACATTACATATTCAGAAATTACAATTTTCTAGTTTTAATCAAAGCAGTTCCTAAAACTGTATTTTTCTCTTATTCAAAACAACAAACACATGACGTGCAAGTAAAAAAAGAAAAAAACCAGAAAAAACCCTTTACGATCATAAAAAATCACACTACTCAGTGAAAATGTTCATTTTAAGTCAGTCCCATAGTTTTAAAGGTTGAGGACTCTCACCCTTGAAGAAACAATGGAGTTTGGCCTCATTTTAGGGGTTGTTTGGTTGGAGGGTTCAAGGGGTTTGAACCCAGATTCAAGTTCAACCAGTGTTTGTTTGTAGAAAATAAAAAGGGGTCTGAACCCTTGATGTGACATTTAAACCCTCAAAATAAAAGGATTTCTAAACCCAAAAACCCAGGTTCAAACCCCATAGTTCAAAACCGACATGGTTCAAACTCAAAGTTCAAACCCACCTTGATTTGAACCTTTTTACCAAACGAACCCTTAATGATTAACTTATAATTTGGAGTGGGGAAAGCGTGTTTCGCTCGATTGACAGATTTGGAGGTGTTAGATATCATGAAACAATAATTCAAACCCGGATTAGAACCTAATCATTAAAGAAATGAACTAATAAACGAGTTTTGGTGAGAAAAGCATATCAAGACGGATTTCAGAAACTTCTATTCTCAGATTGACCTTGAACCCAATATTTGAGAGATTTCTAGAGCTCAAAAACCACCATCTCTAACTCCAAGAAATCAACGGGGATATTAGTTTTATGAGTTAGGGGGAAGATTTTGATTAAAAATTGGTGTTTTGAAGGATTTTAAGTGGGTTTTCTATGGATTCCCTATCTAGTTATGGGTTTTTTGAGAGAGATGAGAGAGAAGAGAATAAGTTTAGTGTTGGAAGTAATTGACATGTTTTCACTTTTTTTATTTTAATTTAATTTTAAAGTAAGTTAAATTTTTATTGACTGTAGTGGGTGCTGACTTTTAATCATCAAATCAAAAACTTTTAGAAACCTATCAGCTTTTCTATTTTTTATCTACACAGCTTTAACATCGCGCTTTGGACCTAGCTTTGTAGAAATCACAAATTTTAGTCCCGGAATGGAATTTTGTGAAAATTCCCTTCTTGACTAATTTTGACGCTTTGATCAAGATTTCGATGTTAAAATTCCATCCAGGATTTATTTTATGAGTTTGCTTCAATTATTGAATTTAATCCGCGAATGATATTTACGTTGGGATAATGCACAATTTAAAAGAGATTTAAATCCCCTTAATTAATGTAATAACGCTACAAAATAATAAAACGGTACCAGAATTTTCACAAGCATATGTTGTAATTAATGAATTAATACAGAGTTAACCAACACTGATTCAATCTTCTTCTCCGTGAAGTGTATCAATCTCGACACGCTTAGTTGGACTGCTTCAATATGCAGTTTCAGTGAAGCGTGCATATACTCACAACACTTAGGCCCTGTTCTTTTCGTTGATTCGAGTTTAGAATTCGAGTTTTCCTATAGTAAAAAGCCCTCAGAAACAGTCACATCTAACTTTTTTGCTACAGTAAAAAGCTCTCACACAACATCACATCTCAACTCGAATTAAAAACTCGAATTAACGAACCGAATAGGCCCTTAGATCATAAGCTATAATATATATATCCCATAGGCTATTATACATCCATACTTAGACCTATTCCCGCCACACCAATCCTTATATAAACATCCTGTCGCCTATAATATCTTGTGCATCGCATGCCCATAAATCCATCATACCAAACAACCCATACTTTACATCAACGCTTGACATCTTCACATTACACCTTTATAACATCATATCACATTACACCAAAACTCTGCTCTATACGATCCATACTCCCCTATATCCTTCCATTTTAAAAAAAAAAAAAATCCCATCTATGAAGATTAATTTCTTCTTTTCCTTTTCCATGTATGCAGAATTGTTCTACAAAAGAAAAAAAAAAGGAATTGGAAGAGTTTTTGTGAGAGTTAGAAACGATAAAGTCTTGTACTAATACAAATAATAAAAGGGAGAGTGAAGTGAATAGCATTTTTACTGTAAATAATTGAAGAAAATAGCAGTAAATAGAAAATTTACCAGGCAAATTATCTATTTAAAAAGGGAATTGGAACAGTTTTTGCTAGAGTGAGAAAGGATAGTCGTGTACTAATAGAAATAAGAAAATGGATCTAACACCCCAGTTTGAATCAAGCGAATCCAATCAGTCCCAAAAGTGAAGACTCCCAAGAAAGAGCCCAAGATTTTAAGGAGGACGCTGATTAACACGCCAACACACACTTTTCAGTGGGGTTGCATCCTACAGACCTGGATATAGTCATCAGAATACATACAACATTTTCTTGTTTGTCAGTGGAGGCGCGTGCCCCCAACTGGACTTTAGCTGCGTCCGTGTCTGGATACACATGTACAAGTATTGGCAATTAAATTTAATCCATCTACCAACTACTATCTTGATATATTAACAATAATATATATATATATTAACAAAAAAAAAACTACTATCTAGATAGCTATAAATAGTTTATAATTAATTACAACTATCAACTAAAAGCTCTAGAATCTTCAACAGTTACCTATTTACTCTGTGCTTTATACAAATGAGGGGGGACAAAAAAAGAAAGGAAAAGGTTTGTTGGTGATTATCTATTACTTTGTTATTTGAGTCCACCTTTACGTGAGAGCTGGCCTAGGTCAGTGCTTCAACTTAATGAAGATGCATGGCCATTAATGGTCTATTAAGAGGGTCTGTCTTTTTGTCATATGCCTGTATTTATGCTCCAATTCTTTGAAGCATATAGCCATAACTTGTGTAGCGATTTATGCTACGTTTTCTTGCTAGAGCTGCTTAGCTCAACAGTTTTCTTGCTGAAGCTGCTTAGTCTGATGCATATTTAACAGCATCTTGTAATATAGCTTATGAATTACGTCTTTATTTTTGTTGACTGCAGCTTGATGTTGATGTCGCAACTCATATACATGTGAAGGAAGATGGACCTAAGAGAAGGTTTTTGCAACTTATGATTGAAATTCAATTGTGCATTATACTTTGCAATTCACAAGCTTGCAACAAATTTTTTGACATTGCATTATGTTCTGTGAACTAACAGCTTGCTATATATAGAGACGGCAGATAGATCAGGATTGCTTGTTGAAATCATTAAAATCATTGCTGATGTCAACATTGATGTGGAATCAGCAGAGATTGATACTGAAGTATTGACCTCTCCCACCCCTCTCTCTCTCTATCTCTCTCTCTCTCTCACACACACACACACACACACACCGCCCGGGCTGCACGTGTTTTTGCTGTTACTGACTTTTACATTATGAACCAACAGGGGTTGATAGCTAAAGATAAATTTCATGTCAGCTATAGAGGGGCAGCATTAACGAGTTCTTTGTCTCAGGTCGTGGGATTTCCAATTTGTGTTATTGTGTTGTAAAAACTGAACCTATTTTGTTTTAAATTTCACTGAGGTTTGGTTGTCTTCCAAAAGTGTTGGAAAAACGAAGAACCTTCCAAGTCATATATCCAAATTCTAATGAGCCAATTTACTAGTTTAATTAACCTTAGAAGTTATTCCATCTCCTCTGATCAATTTATCTGAATGTGCAGGTTTTAGTAAACTGCTTGCGTTACTATCTTCGGAGGCCAGAAACAGATATAGACAGCTACTGATATGTTCTTCGTAAAGTATTATGTGGCTTCCATGATTTATCCTGAAATCCACTAGTTGACGTTATAAACTAGAAAAATGTATTTCCATTTTATCGGGTGACAAATCTCGATTCATAGTTGGATTTCTATCCAGCAGGCATTCTGTGTACACTTAATCTTGCATATTCCACTAAAAATGTGAGACAATAGTTGCTCAATCAGCATGGCTTGGTTGTGACTTGTGAGTCATCCCTTCTCCCCTTGAAAAATCGGATCTCGTGAAAAAAATAAGAAGTGGGATTATTTTTTGAGCCCCAATTTTGCGGATCGTTTGAAATGAGGTTAGCTATATGACATGTACAAATTTGTATGCATACACATATGAATACGAATAATATCTACATTTGATTGAAAGACTCATCTTCTATGCATGTTGCTGGAGATGACGTGTTTGTACTTTGTTGTTCTTGTAAACTCGTATGCATAGTCAAGTCTGCTCTGCTTCTGAAAATGTGTTGGTTTGTTCCTCTGCTTCCTCTGTTTCTTTAGTTTAGGCATCGTCTTTTTAGTTTACTGCATTTTACAGCTAAAACTGCACCAGATGGTAGCTTGGAGGAAGTGATATGTCAAAGTTACCAGGTTATAATTTTGGAGAATTTTGGTGTAGTGGACAGAATTTTTAATTGTCGGATTTTGATTAATTTCTATTAAATTAACCTGCTCTTTGTAGGTTGATACGATTTTAATCACATAATTCTTGAAATAATTTATGTCGGAGCTAGGTGAGTAAATCTACTACTGCAAATATAAAGTTGTTAAGGGCAGAGATCCCCAATAATTTGTATCCTTGAGAAATGTCGGGGCTGTTCGTTTGGGGTGCTAAACTCAAGAAAGTTCAATTTGAGTTTCATTTTAAGCCCAAGTTTGTGTTCATCAGGGACAAACTCGAGTGAAGACTCAAGTGAAGGCTTGAGTTCAGCAGCATTTTTTGAGTTGATCCCTCTCCTCTTTAATTCACGAAACTCAGTTCCAAAAAAGTTATAACTTTTTTATTTTAACTCCGATTGTGATGATTTTTTTTATGCGTTTACAATGAAAATACGAATAAAATCTCACTCATATACTCTATTAAAATTTTTCATAACTATTGAGTTTTTATTAAAATACTATTTAAATACAAATTTAAGTTTTGATTCACCTAAATACAAACTCAAATAGATTTTCAATTCAAATCATAACTCAAAATGTGCACACCAAAACATAAACTCAAATTAGAGAAACCATATTCAAATACACTTTAACTCAAATCAAGATCTAAACTCAAATTATCTTAAGTAAAAAAATGCAAATGAACAAGCTCTACTCGATTCTGCAATCTTTCACGTACAGAGAAAACTATTGATGTTTAAAATAATTTTCAAGAGGAGCTACTCTTTTTCCCAACAAATTTTTCCCAGCTTTTCCTGACCAGCGGATGGTGGAAAATTTAGCTTTAAACCCTACTCTGAAGTCTTTCATTGACTTGGAAAAGGAAAAAAAGATGCGAATTTTACCTCTTTAAGGTCTTGCTAGCCAGAACTTTCGAATATAAAAACCTAGAATTTAGGCACCACGACTTTGTACTGGCTGATCATCATGCTCTAAGAATCGATAACCTAGCTAATCTCCCAAATGATCAGTAAGGTTTTACTCTCAATCTTATTTTAGTTATTGACTTCTAAAATGTTCAATAATTGGTTCCTAATTTATTACACTGTTTTAATTTTGATCATTCTCTTAACTAGGCATTAATATAAAAATGCATGGAAATTATGAAGTAAAATTGAAAACTTCTAAAGTTCAGAGACTAAAATAATATACAAAAAATAAAAGTTAATTTTCACAAGGAGTAAATAAATTTTATGTATTTCTAAGTTTCGTAATTTATTTACACAAAATTCGTCAAATATTTAATACCTAGTTATCAAAAGTATCGAAATTGAAACAAAGTAACGGATTAAGGATTCACTGTGAGACATTTTAAAAGCCTGTGACTAAAGTAAGATTGAGGGTAAACCTCAGAGATTATTTGCGTGATTAAACCTTTTATTTATTGTTAAATCTTGTCAACAAATGAACCTTGGTATTTTCGCTTTTACCAATTTAAAATACTTTTCTCAACAGCTAACCTTCTTAGAGACGTATAACTCTTTTACATTATCCAACATTTTTCTTTTGAACTTGCCATAAAATTTTTTATTAAGGACCTCAAACTTAGGCGTCCTTTTCAAGCTGTCCCTGAAAATTAGGGGAAACGAGGAGTTTTTTGCAAGCATTTAAAAGTTTGCGGATAACTCAAAAAAGACCACCCTTAACATAATTATGAGACCAAACAAGATGCACATGTAACGTTCCTTTTTTTTTTTTTTTTTTTTTTTTTTTTTTTCATTTCATGACTGGAAGTAGACGTTTGCAAGCATTTCGTAATTTAGGGGGGAAATGGATCCTACAGATAAAAGTTTGAGGGTAACTTAAAAAAGACGCCTTGTATAATTATGAGGCCAAAAAACTTGCAACTCAAGGTTTTTTCTTATGTTGTCCCTAAATGTGTTTGGAACTCATTTTAAAATAATTTTATTTTTTATATGAAAATAAAAATAAATTTTCAATCTCAGATAGAAATTATTTTTAAAAATGCGTTTGGTAGTTTTATCAATAGATTATTTTTAGTGTAAAAAACTCCATTAATATCTCTCTTTCTCTCTCTCTGCTCCAGAGAGGAGAAAATGAAAAACAATTAAAAGTCATTTTTCATTTCTCTCTCATTTTACACTAAACTAAAAAAATGTTTTCATTTATGTTTTTTTTTTATCTTTATTGCTCCAAATGCCATTTTGAGAACATTTTCATTTTTTCTTTCTCAAAAAATGTGAAAAACAAAAACGGGATCAATTCCAAACATGGCCAAGATCTCGTTCATTTTACTAATTCGAGTTTAAAATTTGAGTTTTGCTACCGTAAAAAGCTCTCAGAAATAGTCACATCTAACTTTTTTACTACAATAAAAAACCTCACATAAAAAGTCACATCTTAACTTGAATTAAAAACTCGAATCAACAAACTGAACGAACTCTAAAATTTTTACAAGCATATCTAATTTGTAGGTACAGATCGTACTGATGAATGTTTATAGATGTTGTTTGGTTAGAGGATTCGTACCCCGATTCGAATCATGATTCGTGATTCGCTACAGTGTTTTCTCTCATAAAAAATACACGTAAATCGAAAATAATTCTAATCTATAAACCAAACGTCTCCTAAGAATAACTTAAAAATGTCACCTAACGTAATTACGAGACCAAACAACTTGTACATGCAAGGTTTTTTCTTCGTGTTGTCCCTGAAACTTTGACATAACAAGATTTTTGCAAGCATATCTAATTTGGGGTACGGATCGTTTAGATGAAAGTGTAAGGATGACTTAAAAAAGACACCTAATACCTGCACATGCAAGGCTTTTTCTTCATGTTGTCCTTGAAACTTTAACGGAACAAGATTTTTGCAATATATCTAATTTGGGGTGCAGATAATCTATATATGTAAAAAATGAGAAATTGTACTTTGAATAACTTTATAGTGCACTTTCAATCAAAACGATGTAGTTTTGGTTGAAAGTGCACTATTTCTCCTCTTTTTTTCCTTTAAGTCTTCCTTTTTATTTTATTTTATTTTATTTATTTTTCATCCTAAAATTTATCCATTTTTTCATTTTAGCCCTTTTAAACTTAGATTCTTTTCTCTTTGCCCTAAAATTTCATTTTTATTTTCATTTTTATTTTCATTTTGGTTCCTTTTACCTTAAAATTTATTTTTTAACTTTTGCATTTAGGTTCTTTATTGACAATTTTTCTTTGCTTCTTTC